AGGTTAATAGAAAATATACCAAGTGAACAATTAATTTAGGTAAAGTTTTATATTAAATCAAGCAACAAGTTCTAGTACAAAGTTTTCAAAATATTACAAGTCATAAAGTTATACTTATATGTTATACAATTCCCAACCTAAGCTCTGGATTTTTGCATCTGACATCTATCTCTTGAACTATACATTCCTGCATCACACGTCAACAACATCTAGGATTGAAATATTTATGGGGTTAGACATTTATTTTTATCCACAGCAAATAAAGCAAACATTCATACGATAAAATCAACCAATGAAACATTTCTTCTAATAAGTTCATAATTGCATATAAATATACAACCATATATAATTTAATTTGAAAATTAATTATGAGAAACAAATCAATCAATCATGGAATCATAATAGAGAATATCATACAAATCATGAATAATCTACAATTTCATCATGCAATATGTTTATGATATGCACATGTGACTCAAAACGTAAAACTTAAAAATCATGCATTTGACTCTAAAAATATTATTTTTGACTCAGTGCTCCATAGAGACTCATATGAGTATCTAGTGGAACCAAAGCTTAACATCACCATGTCTAGTGATTCGGCAATGCCCCACTAAATGCGAACAAGTAGACAGTAGTCAGAGTGTTAGTGCACCTGGCAGGCTACCACGGCACATAATCAAATAAAGACTGGTCACTTATGGGATTGCCCATGCCCAAACACTCCCTAAACTAGAGGTCCAACCCTATAGACCAGAGATCCTATCTTACCTATTCTACTCCCCCATTTACTATCAGAGATATTGGTAGCTCGATTCTCAATCATTCATTCTCATATATTCTCTATTTCATTTGGCCGGCCATTTTCGTAGTCATATTCCGCTACCAGATGTTCTTGATAGTAAATTCTTAAGAAAATGACTCACAGAAATATGTTCAAAATTTTTTTTTGCACATCATTGTTACTACCAACCGTCTTTGATAGCTACTTAATAGTAATTTCCAATACTTTTCTGTAAAAGCTTTTTTGTGACTTCCAGAAAACATTTCATGCACTATGTTTATGTCTTGTATGAAACAAAACAATCTAGCGTCAATTAAGTACTCAGAAACATCTCATTCATATATTCAAAATTTCAATTACAATTCATAGTTGTTTTAAACAAGACAATTTCTATTAATAACTTATTTCGTAGGTTTTAGTGTTTTGTCCATATCTTGAGTTCTAGACCTCATTTTAAGATGATTCCAATTGTGTTGGAAAGATAAGACAATAACCTATAACTTTGATGAAGGCACTATCCTCAAATTCGAACGTTTACTAAGTTGTTTTCCTAGTAAACAAAGAGGTGGTAATATACTGTTTGACTTTATCTCGATTATATCCTTAACCTTTTTCAAAATTCCATTTATGTCCCTAGGTTGTAAAATGACCATTTTGCCCTTGAACATTTCCTATAATTCCATCCACATCCCTAAGATGACTATTTTACCCTTGGACATTTTGTATAATTCCATCCCATGTCCCTAAAATGACTTTTTTACCCTTAGACATTTCTATAATTCCATCCATGTCCCTAAAATGACTATTTTACCCTTGGACATTTCTATAATTCCATCCATGTCCTGAAGCCATGATGAAATGACCATTATACCCTTAATCTTTTTCAAAATTCCATTTATGTTCCTAAGATGTGAAATGACTACTTTACCCTTGATCTTTTTCAAAAATTTCCATCTTGTCCCTTTCTTCTTCCTCACTTCCAGTATGTCATTTCCAACATTCCAGATTCCAAATTTTCCAGTTTCAGATAACCAAACTAGTTCCAAATCCAAATTAAACCCTAAACATATTCAATTTAAGTTAAAAATAACAATTTTAATATATAATTTATCCTTAATTTCAAAAAAATTCTTTTTCAAAAATTCTCACCATATACCTTTTCTTCAATCTTCACCCAGTAACCAAATTCAGTTTCTCCAGATTTCAAATTCTCACGTATCAATCAATCAAACTAATTCCAAACTCAAATTAAACATGAAACTTATCCTATTTGATTCAAAAACAACAATTTTACCATGTATTTCATCTTTAATTTCAAGATTTCCATCAACATTTCAAACTTTGCAAAACAGGAAGCAATTATCAATTATCTTCAAAATCAGACATTCGTATGATAAAATTAAACATCTAACCCATACCTTACTTCTCCAAGATCTTCTAACTCTCCTCCTTTCCTCCATTCTCTCTTATTTTTCTTCTCAATTTGGTGCCTCTCTCTTATTCTCCAAATTGGCCGTGGCTTTTGGTGTTAGAGAAGTTTTTGATTTTGCATGATTTTCCTACACGGTTTCCTTCTATTTATATATCTCTCCACCGACTTAATTTCTTCTTCAAGTTTCTTCACCGCCTTAATTTCAATTTAATTCTTCACCGCCTTAATTCAAATGCATTAAGGCCACCACCAACCTTCTCGTTTCTCTTTTTTTAAGTTCCTAAATATTTATTTATTCATTTATTCTTAATTTTAATTTAATTATTATAAATTATTAAGAAATTATTATTTGACACAATATTAACCTTGGATTTTATTTTATAATTTTCCTAAAATAAAAATTACTATAATCAAAACAAAATCATATTTTATAATAATTCTACATAATGCTTAGTACATATTTATTACAATAATCATATAATAACTTAAAAATTTTATTTATATAATTAGTTGCAAATCTAGGATGTTACAAGTTGTGCTGGAATCACCGAGATAAACATGTTCTTCTCCATCATCCAAACTAGTGTAAGAGGTAAAAACACTTCTATTTGCATAGATATGTCTGGTAGCACTAGATTTTATCACTCATTTGCTCACATTTGTCACAAAGTTTATTTTGGAAACAACCGCACTAATTGTATCTTCTCCTTTGGCTAAATTTGCCTTAGGAGTATTGTCGTTTCTTATTCCATGTCTACACTGAGGTGCATGATGACCTGGCTTTTCATAGACAAAGCAATTTTCTTTCTTCTTGAAAGTGGGGTTAGATTTATTGGGACGAGAATTTTTAAAATTATTTTTCTTCTTACAATCAAGTTTTTTCTCACACCTTTTTTGAGTTGGTTTATCTTCTACCATATTTGTCTTCGCTAATAACACCTTAGCCCTAGCAACAGCACACTCCTTCCGGTTGGTTCCAATTGGTATCTTCGATGATGATGTGCATGATAAGATCTAGCAATGGCATTTGTTTACGCCTATGCTTCAGCTGTTGTTTGTAGTTTCTACAGGATTTCGGAAGCTTTTCGATTAGAAGTTCTAAAACGAACTCCTCGGTAGGACAATGTTTTCGGCTTTAATATCTTCAAGCAACTTGTGGTACTCGTTGATCTGGATCGTGATGTCCTTGTCTTCTAGCATCTCCCAACGGTAGTAGTTTCCGATAACGAACATTTGTCTCACGAAATCTTCGGCTATGTATTTGAGAATCAACGAATCCCAGATATGTTTGGCTTCCTTATAAGAATAATACACATCGAACAAATCATTAGACAATGCACTAAGTAAAGTGTGTCAACATACCTTGTTAGAATGAATCCAATCTTTAATTTGTTTAGCAGGAGTACTAAAGTCAGTTTTAGTAGTTGTAAGAGTAGAAGTCACTTCTTACATGTCTAACAAAGTAGAAATACATGTAAAATCTTGATTGATATCCATACTATCAACCCTAAGTCCTTAAGATTGTTGAAAAAGCTAACAGAGACACGAACAAATCTTAATTCTTGAGGCGTATAAAATTACTGCCCTTAAGGACTTATCCGCAGAGCACTTCACAAGTCCCCCAAGATATAACAGGAAACTAGCAAGAAACTCTTCATAAAATATATAAACTCAGGATAAGAATAGAATGAAAATGAGAGAAGATGAAAGAGATGTGTTTTGAAAAGGGAAGTGAAGGCATCTATTTATAGGCATAGATTGAGCCCAAAATCCTAACTTCCCATGCCCAAAATATCCTGCAACCACCTCACCCCAATACCTAAGGAAGTGTCATGAGATGAGGAGGAAAATATGCAATTGTTGGAGGAAAACATGAGATGAGAAGGAAAATCTGCAATTGTTGAAGGAAGACTCAGTAATGGATATGCAGCGTTTGTGGGAGTTGGATTCTTGTTTTCATGCGACTTAGCTTTCATAACATTTTTCATATACTAAACAGTAGTAACCATTGTAGATATTCTTACCAAATCCTAGCGAACAACTCAAATTTTGTGAATTGCACACCAAACTAGAGTGGTTGATCCTTTCCCTAATATTAAAACTTCCAATTACTATGTCATGTCGGCTAAGATTAAATTATCTTGCTATAAACATACATCATTCTATCATAGCATAATGAGATTGAGTCAACAAAATGTCTCTGAATTAATATTCTATTATATTCTTAGTTTCTATTTCACTCTTTAATCATAAAAATATTAATATGCATAGATCATATCCTTGTTTATAGATCTTAAATATACATGTACACTCAGCCGAATGAATATTTCAAACTTTTTCTTTCCTTTACTCTTGGGTCAAGAGAACATTGAAGTATGTGAAGGCCATAAGAGGACCTTCAAATGGATTCCAAGGATCGCGATCTCATATGAAGACTAACTTTAGAGTATTAGCTATTCACAATTTCACACAAAAATCATCTGCTCATAGAAATTGTCAAAGGGAAAATCACAATAAAAATATTACAGTAAACTAAATTGTGGCTTTATTCTCTAATATGGTCTGAAATGCTTCTAGTAATCTGTAACTCTTCTTACTTTCTGATTTGCCTTTCCTGACACTACAAGCTTGTTAAAACCAAGAAATACCGCTAATTCTCTGACCTTCTCCTTGAAATTTCAAACATAACTTAATCTTCACTGGATTTGAAAACTGTCTGTGTGTAGCTTGGGAACATTGGTGAAAGAACATTATTGTCCAGGCTAGAGTTTAAAAACATGGATATCAAGTTGCTGAGATATTTTCATCATGTTCTGGAGTTGTAAAAACCGGAGGCTGAACGGGTTTATTTCCCATATCTTTGGTTTTGTGAAGAAGAAAGGTCCCAGATAAAATTGTGACAAAGCCACAAATCTCAGTAGCAATTTGTGATGCATCTTGTGTGTCCCACTCCTGTAGCAAATCAACAAAGCACAAAAGCAACTAATGATTTGCAAACTATCGATGAAGATATTATTTAAGACCAATGATACTGCAGATGAGATGAGTCTACAAGATACTATAGCAATGCAGATAATTGACCACCTAGATGTTAATCATGCATTGTTACCTTGTCAGAATCTCATCACCCATCATTATATTACTGTAATGATTTCTGTAATGATCTCAATGCCATTATAAATTTCTAATAACATACTAAAGCATCTTTTAGGTAATCACTAACGTATCCTTATAAATGTTAAATCCATTTTACCTCAGAAGAATTATTTGCCATCATATCTTTTTAATAGAACTTCAGTTTTTCTTATATTGCATTGCATACTCTTGGTCTTTTAAACGCAATTAAAAATCCCATTCTGACAATGATTGTGAAGGAGATAAACCCTTATCAATCCATAATCTAGAAATGTTACCACTCTAGTTGAAAAATACAAATATAACCCATCAAGAAGTTTAAGCAACCATGACAAGGAAAAATGTTATTTTCCATCAAATTTATTCTTACTCCTGTAGTTTTGTTTCCCTAATAGTATTACTATAACTAAGAGAATTAGGTGGAATAAGAATCTTCTATCTGAGATTCTGAATTGGAATTTTTTTCCTTATCGTGTTAAATATCCTTAGGAATTTTCAGATAAAATATAGGTCTTCCAAAATGTGTGGATTTGTAAGCACAATGGCATCTTTTGATTATGTAGCTGATTCACCGAGTGGAAACAGGTTTTTGTCGTTTTTTATATTGTTTTAAACTTGTGATCGCATAATTTTGTAGCATCATCAAGTACATTTTAAACAATATTATAAAACGATATAAAATATGCATATATGAAACCATAGAAAAGAATTAGTCACCTTAAACATCATTATGCTGGCAAAAATGGTGAATGATGTAAACATGACATAGTAAACTGGTGATACAACTGCTGTGTTAAAAGTGTCCAAAGCCTGAAACATGTCCCCAAAATAAATAAATAGCATTACAATATATAAGCATATTGTCTTGAACTACTAACTCATCAACTTATTTCAAGGATTCTAGCATTATTGATTTTAATCATTAAAGTATAAAGAGAATGATGAAATGCTATGCCATTTCTAAAATATGGAGTATTATTCATCTTTAACAGAAGATAGAACGAATGAAATAGTTCAATGCCAAGTAAAAAAAACCATAGAAAACCTTTTGTTATAACTTTTCCAAATGCCAAAAATTAGATGAAAAATGCAAACATTTCCTTGTAGCAAATGATCGATTCCTTTACAAAAGCGTAGATATTTTTTAAGCATTACAAATTACACATCATAGAAAAATCAAAATAATATTTTCAATACTAGCACTATAATCACCAAAGAAAGTTTTGAAAAATATATTTAACTTTGGTATAATTATTTCAATTTGTGCTTTGGACATGTCACTGACAGCCTACAGTACCTGTACTAACATATAAAAGTCAAAGTTTACCTTGTTTAAATAGTTAATCTGCATAAGACAACATCCTATCACAACAAATGTAAAGAACCAGGTCTGAAAGTAAATGAATTGGTTGTTGCCTTCAAATGTAAGTTTCAAAGCTATTGACACTGCTTTCACACTCATAACCTACGCAACAAGGAAGAAATTAAGTTTATAGAGGGTAGGTATTCAATCATCACACATGCATTGAAGATATATAATGGATACCGTGATTGAGCCAGTGAGAGAGCATATTCCAACATATACAATCAAATGGGTTTGCCCATATCGTGGAACATAATAGAAAATAAGGACGCAAACCACAACCACAACTATACAGCTGTAGATACCAAAGCCTGTTGATGAAGAAAAGAAGTCAACGTCAGCTTAGTTAATCATACATGAATGCCTTGAATCCGTGCAATGGTTAAAAATGTTGAAACCAAGCAATGAGGGATTAAACATTACCAGGTTCTGTAGCAAGTTCCCATACTTCCTTAACAGAGTGAATAACTCTTTCATGGGGAGCATGCAAAACAATAGTTGTAGATCCTACCACACAGAGAGCACATCCAAGCACACCAAATATGTGCAATCTCTCTTTTAGGATAAAGTGAGCTAGTACTGCACTGCATTGTGATATTAGTTTGCAAACTGTCTTAAATGAAAACAGCATCCGAAGTAAAATTTGATGGATGAAGATGCGCATCCACAGTTGTGACAAAGGAAGCAAATGCCATGAAGAATACCATGTTCCATACCTGAAAATGATACTTAAAGCTCCCAAAGGAGTTACAAGTAGTGCAGGAGCAAAGGCATAGGCTGCAAAATTGGCTATTTCCCCAACAATCACTACAAAAATTTAAGCATACATATAGAATTAGTTGATGAAATTTTCATCACAATAGTAAGAAGTGAAAAATTTGCAAATAACTCATTTATAATTATAGAGTACTAAGATATTTGTACAAATATAAGTTGTGTAATATAGAGCAACATTGATCATTCCGAAAAGGAATTTTTTATAATCATACGATGTCGAAACTTCAATTCTTCAACATATAACAATTACACTATTCCCTTTTTCCTCTAGCTTACAATAGTAAACAGGGGCAATGAAACGTACTCATTACATAAGGTTAGAATAGATTGGAACCTCATTTCGTTCAAAAAATGGGTAATTTATTAATATGGGAAGCAAGCATAAATCACAAAAGAGGATATTATTTGATATCCTCCAACTGTTTCTTGTAAAAGTATGAAGTCAGTCCTTTGTTTGACTAAATATTTCATAAGATAATTTATGACAATAGCAGTCCCACTTTTGAACTTTCAAAGCTTCGTCAAATATGAACACTCACAAACCAAGCCACCTACTTTGCTCGTTGTTTTTATTCTTAACATCTAATGTACTCCTTTGAACGTACAAGAGATGCCAGAATATTTTCCAACTAAGAACGTGTTGCTATCATCATAAGAAAGGACAAATAAAACATAAAGTAAAAATTTATGAGATTATACCATAGAGGAATGGAAGAAGTAAATAATCATCATCCTTCCACGGTTTGTATCTTTATAACAGGAGAAGGAGGATTAAGAATAATGTCAGACCATCACTTTATGCAGTTCTTGGTGGAGTAAAAGGATCAAAATACCTCTACATACTTTTTATTAGAGATAGAAATCGATTAGAGATCAAGAATTTTTGGTAGTCCAAATATGTAGAAATTATTCTACATCCTCGTACCCTTAACTGTAAAATCGTAAATTCCCTGATAGACAGAAATAAAGACTACAAATGAGACACCTTTCAATTAATTGGAAAACTTAAAAAAGTTCAAGCATCTTATTCCTTTGCATTCAAGCTAAAACACAGCCATTACCTGAAAAAAACTAAGAATAAAGGTGGCTAGGCATTACCTAGACACCTTAAAATCTTGTCTACAAGCTACATGACCCAAATGCACAATTGGTTAAGAAAAGGTCCCAGAATGAAATATAAAGGAATACAATGGATAAAACACACAATTAAAGATGATTAGGTCAAACATGCAATACAATTGGTCAGAACAAGAAATCCTATATAAATTAAAACCGTAGGGAGGTCGCTTATGTATTAGACCTTATCAAAAGTCTGTTGCAGTTAAAAATGCTACATGGTACATTGCTCCAGTAAAAGCAGAACTAAAATAGTTAAAAATGAAAAACAAACTAAAATTCACTTACTAGAGATCATTCCAAACCACCAACAAGGTTCATATAGATATGCATGTCCTCCCGAGGCTGTTGAAATCAAAACAAAAACAAATATAAATTAACTGTTAAACAAATGATAGTTCAACACTTAGCATGCTAAAACTAAAAAAAAAAAAAAAAAAAAAAAAAAAAAAACGAGAGGAATCACGAACCTGCTCTTTTCCCTGTTGCCCCAGCCTTCTTTAGCCCCATTTTTTTTATTATAAAGCTAGAGCCAATGAAAATGCTGGAAGAGACAGCCAGAATAAACCCGGTTATGTTGTCAGAAGATGCCCCCATTTGTCACAACAGACAAATGATACCAAAAAATATCTTCTGATGAAACTAACAAAGCAATTGCAGGGCCAAGATGTCCAATTCGATCCCTTGACCCTATAAGCCATTGATTCAACATGCATAAAAATTAATACTTAAACAAGAACATAAATCGATGGAATGAAGATATAGATTCACGTAGAGACGTTAGAAGCTTAAGTTTGGTACCTTGTTGGCACCTCACATACAACTTTTATGGCTTGAAAATCATGACTCAAAATCAAGGAGAAGGGTTGTGATGAGCATGAAAATTGAAGCCTTAATCGTTGATTGCAAAGGTGACGGAGGAAGAGATCATGGAATTCAGATGGAATGGAAACACAAGAAGCAACACAACCGGACGTTGTCACGCATGCGTTGCTGAAACAATTACCCCAAATAAAGAGATTCCGTAGTTCACGTTTTCTCGAAACTTTTTTATTAATAAGTAATATTTATAATAAATATAATATAATAAAATAATTACCAGTATAATATTGTAGCAAGGTGAAATTTTCGAGGGTGAGTACTACACAAATAAGAGTAAATGTTACATAACGATTTTATGTCAAAAAATAATTAAAAGTAGTAGTGTATTTTAATAAATTAAAAATTATCACGTGAATTTTATGTTTCTCACCTACTATTAATAAATAATCTTTTATGTCATATATTAAGTTTTAATATATATATATATATATAAATATATATATATATATATATATATATATAAGTGTTAAAATAGAATTAGTAGATAAGTTTAATAAATAGAGCAGACTAATTAGATAAAAAAATTATACATAAATTAATTCAGACTTATTTTAATTTAACTCATTTAAATTATTATTTATATGTGTTTAAGTTAAATTAATATATAAATTTAACAGTTATCTTGTTTTATAAAATAATAATAAATTTTTAAAATAAAAATAATATTATTTTATTTAAAATATATATATTATAAATTAATATAAAAAGAGATTAACATATTTTAAGAATAAGTAACTAACTAAATCTCTATTAATCATTTATTTTAAAATCTAATTATTAAAATTAATTATTATTTTATATTATTAAATTATTAAAAAATAATAATAATAATAAATAAGTTTTTAATTCTTATTTTAATATTAAATGATTTATCATTTTATAATTTATTATTAAGTTATCATATTTTAAATAAAAACTAATTTTATTAATATAATTTAAATTTTAAAAATATTTTTTTAATTAATTAATATTAATATTAATAATTTCTTTTCAATTTTTAGTTAGACAAAAATTAGTCCATTAATTGGCTAAATATAAAATCATATTAAACTAAAAGTTATAATTATTTTAAAACATAAAGTCATCATTTTTTTAATTAACTTATATTGACAACTTTATAAATATTCCAACAAATTTTTATAATATGTAAAAGTTAATCAAATGAATTATTTTTTATACATACAAATTTAATCGAACTCAGTTTAATTCATATTCTTATTAATCACATTATGTATACTGCTTTTTTCATAATTTTAAATTATTTATAAATTTGTTACGTCACTTAATTTGAACCTTTAATTTAATATCTAAAAATTAGTAATTATTTTTAAAATATGTAAATATGTTCTTAAAAATATGTAAATATGTATTGTTGTAAAAATTTAAATTATATATAATTTAATATAGTATTATTATTATTGTTATTATTAAGATAATATCATCAAATTTAACAATGAGATTGATAAATTTTGCATTTTTTAAACCGCTTTTAACATTTGATTTAACTAGTTTCTACAACTTTGCAATTAGTAAAACAATAGAAATACAAGAAAAAGTGGTTGAATTGTTTTAGGTGATTTTCATGAAGCTTAGTCAAAAGTTTTTCTCTAACTTAAAAGCTTTTGTAGAAAAACACAGGTCTAAAGTTGATTTCAAGTAAAATAAGTTTAGATTAATGATTTTATGAGCGTCTCTTTTTTACGTATGTTTTTATTATTTATTATTATATATTATAATAATATTACATAATGCAAAACTTCATAGTGAAGTTTCCTCTGCATTGTAAAAAAAATGATATATATACATGCGAAAAGGGAGGGGAGAGGCATGGATTTCGGCAAGTGATTTTTCCTCTCATATCACGCATTCTTCGTTCTTCTTCTTCTTTTGTTTAAATTTCAAGCAAATGATACTCTACTTATGCAGAATCTGGTGAAACGGGAGAAAACTTAGATTAGATGGGAAAGTTTCGGTAGAAATACCACACAAGGTAAGGGGAAGTTTAATTCATTTAATATATGAGACTGAATTGTTGGGTACTCTGTGAATAATGAATAGGAGTAGAAATTTGAATATTTGAACGACTGATTTTGAAGTTTTCTTCATATTTGAAAACTTGAAATTTTGTTGAAGTTTGTTGAAAGGCCCACATCGCCTACCTCATGTCATTTTGTAAGGTTTAAATACATGTTAGGCTACTCCACGTATTGCCAATTGGTTTTATGTTGGAACCTTAACATGGTATCAGAGTCAAAGTCTAACATCTTTCCGGTTATTGTCATGGGCCAAAAGTTGCCCTTTAGTTGGGTCAAAAGTACCATTTGCCTAGTCCGACAGGCTTCGTTGGAGGGGGTGTGTTGAAAGGCCCACATCGCCTACCTCATGTCATTTGGTAAGGTTTAAATACATGTTAGGTTACTCCACATATTGCCAATTGGTTTTATGTTGGAACCTTAACAAAGTTCTTGAAATTAAGGAGGAATTATATGGTAAAATTTTTGTTTTTGACTTAAATTGAACATGTTTAGGCATCGAGCTGCATTGTACTCCAGAATGAGTGATGAAGCGCGCCAGTAATCTCACTCTGTGTGGAGGGTGGTTAGAATGGTACTACGAGTGCCGATCACAATGTGCCCACAGATGATAGTCTCTGAGTTTGGGCATAGTTAGGTTAGACTTCCGAAAGGCGTTTTAGTGTATTGATGATTTGTAATTCATGATAATATGTAATTATTAATTCTATATCTACTTTATTATATCGAATGATTTAATACTTACCCCCTATTTTTCCATGTGGATGGGACTGCGATGATCACTTTTATGTGGAAGCAGACCAGGAGTTGAAAGGTGGAGATACGACTACTGAGTAATAGGAATAGTTCAGTAGGATGATCTTTGTGGGATCTACTTTTGTATGCATCTATATAAATACGTTGTGATATTATATTTTGAGGTTTCGTCGATGAACCGGAATTTTAGTCTATATTACAATTACAATAATATAATATAATATAGATGTTGTTATTTACTTGTTTACTATTTTGTGAAGGCATCATTATAGTAGCGATTTCTTGTGTCGTTACAATAGTGGTATTAGAGCGGTAGTATCCTTATAAATCTGTGGGGATGGATAGTGAACCTATGATAAATTCGTTGTGATTATACTCTGATATGTGAGTGTGTGTGTGTGTGTGTGTGTGAATGTTTGTTTTGTATTTATGGTTGTGTTTGATATAGGATGGCACCGCGACCTCCTACTCCTACTCAGCCGAGTGTAGATGCCCTAGTCAGGGCCATGGAAATGTTGGCAGCTGCCATGCAGCAGCAGGATACCTACCCGTAGTGGAGGCCAATTATGATGTCATCCTCTGCTGGATTTCACCAGTCGAAGCAGATGAGGCTGGCTGAGTTCACGAGGCATAATCCACCTCATTTTGGAGGAGATTTGGGTCTAGATGCAGTAGAGAAGTGGTTGCGTGAGGTGGAGAAGATTTTTTAGGCTACTCTGAAAGCAATGGGGGGAGATTGATGGAAATGTTCCTACATTCCCAAGAGATGATTTTGATGATGATTCAAGTCAACTACATTCAAGTCAACACCATTCAAGATGAATTAAGGACAAGCTGAATTTAAGACGTTGGTGACAATGTGAAACATTTCCCTACATGCCCAAGATATATTTTTGGTAAAGATGATGATTCAAGCAAGCCCAAGATGATTCCTGAAGACTAGATAGAGTCTTAGAATACTGGATATGGAGGTACAAGTTGATGAAGTAATATTATGCATAAGTCTCCAAAGCACAAGTGTGATAAAATTCATAACATAATATTTTTCTTTGTCATAATCAATTATGTTGCATCAGAAATGGAAAAATGATTTTCTCTGTCATAATTGGTTATACTGGTAACATAATCAATTATGGTAATTCAAAATTTGAAAAATATATCTGTTTTGAAGAATAAATGTTTTTGAATATATCCTGATTTTTATTCACGAAAATATTAATATCCAACGACCATTTTCTGATGTTATTTTTCTATTTAATTAAGTTTTGATGAAAAATAAAAAATATACAATTACAGAATTCGAAAATACAATTTACATTCAATCAGTTTTGAGAAAAGAATTTTGAGCAAGGCAATAAAGATATTTTACACCTTCTGAGAAAACTCTCTTCTCTACTGCCTTCTGTGTTTTCATTGTTAATCACACTTGTTCTTGGAGATTGGCATTCTACAGGCTTCTACAATTTGTTGTCTCCATTACCCAGGTGTGACTGTTTTTATCTCACTCCTTCATCCTTTATGGGTTTAGGAGGTTGTCTCATCCTTTGATTTGTTCAAAGGAGGTATTCATCCCTAGTGGGATTCTAAGGAGGTGTTCATCCTTAGTGGGATTCTAAGGAGGTGTGTTCATCCTTTGATTTGTTCAGAGGAGGTGTTCATCCCTAGTGGGATTCTAGGGAGGTGTTCATCCTTAGTGAGTTTCTAAGGAGGTGATTGTCTTTTGAATTAGTTTACTTTTTACTAGTTCCTCTGGTGAGTTGATTGTAATTTGTGAACTAAATTTAAAAGATAGTGAACTGGGAGTCAATCTTGTGATTAGAGTTGACTGGGAACTGGATGTAGGGTTGGTTATACCCAAACTAGTATAAATTACTGTGTGTTCTTCTCTTTCCCTTATCTCTTTCTCTTTTCTTGATTATATTATCA